TTTAAGTTCTCCTAGGGAAGGGCAAACGATTGGAGCTTTTTCTCAGTTATTTGAAACGGTGGAAGTCCTAAAGCTGTCAGCTAGCAGCTGCAGAATGGAGGTGACTAAAAACAAGATAGGTGAATAAATGGACTCTGAACTGTAAGCCTTTTTCAGATTTAGGCGCTGTAGATAACGATGACTACATCCTTCACTTAGTGATGTGTCTAATGAAGTGACATTTGACGCTCGCATTTTGTCTGTTACAGGAAAATTTCAGGTGAACTACTTTTCCAGTTTGGATGTTGTTTAATCATTACTTTCCGTGTAAGCTACATAAAGCTATCGCTTAGCAGCTATATATTGATTAATCTTTCTATGCCTACAAATATGACTGACATATCTATATGAGGTTTTGTTCTCATTAAACAATCGATTTTCCTGCAGAGTCCGGCTGCGCCAGATCATGTCGCAGCGTCTTGAGGAGTCCTCCGGCTTCCTGCACTAAAAACAGAAGTACCAGACGCTATTCCTTCTGGATATAAGACGTCAAATTTTTGGGGTCATCCACGAATAGTCTACAAGTCGGTTCATAGTATTTCCAGGAACTAGCGCGTCAGTATCTGATGGGATAGCCTTAAAGAGCGGTCCAACAACTTGTTTTCTGAATCAAAAACGTGTGGCTGAAAATAGGGCACCATTGCAGCTTTTTAATTAGCATCAATAATTACAAAAGTTTAATTAGTTAAGAAAGTGGTCCTCGGAGAACAAAAGCTGTCTAGAGGAAAAGGTCTAACCGCTCTTGCCCACTGAGAAATTAAGGGAGTCCGCGACGAATCTGGGCAAGGATTAAGTATATGCGTGAGCTCAGAAAATGCAAACTACTGTTTATCGAATTCGCCAGAGTTTTAATATTCCTGGTTTACTGGTACGCATATGCATTCCATCTGACGATATTTCAAGTACTTTTTACTACCTGAACGCTCTCCATGCCGAACATTTTTTTGAAAATGAACTTTCCTCTTACTAAAGAGCTACGTGTGGAGTTGCGGAACACTGAACCGATGTAGATATTTCAGCAGCGCCGAATCCTCGGGGCGGTACAAGTCAGCGAATGTCACCATGCTAACGAAGGGTCGACAAAATACTCAACCGAACAACACCTACTTTTAAAAATATTGCAGGCAGCTCTCCATAGTTCTTCCTTACCCGCGCATATACTTGACCCTTAACTGTATCTGGATTGAAAGTGGCATGAAAATCCTTTTGTTGTCAACCTTTGGTGAGAATAGGCTACGATAAAACGGCACGGAGGACACTGACTGAAGTTTGAGGGCCACTACATCAATTATGTCAGGTGGGCTGTGAAAGCGACAAGAGCGGTTACCTTCTTTTGGATTACCTAGACAGATTTCTCGAAAGGAGGAAGAGCCATAAACAGAAAACGCAATCAAGTACGGTCACAGGGATTCATGTTTCCGTGATGACCACCGTATGTACGTATACATGAACTATCAGCTTCTGAAACCCGGCTGAGTTATTTCACTAACTTCCAACGTTCATATAAATGCCTAAGAGCTGACCGCGACTTGATGCTTGGGTGAGATTTCAGGTCCTGATCCCAGTTGGTAATCCCAGAACTCAAGGATAATTCGGGACAATGGGCCGTGTACTGTCGCCTCTGGAAATCAGGTTTCATCCGCATCCACCTGCAGTAATTTAGTTCTAAGATTTCTTAACAATCTCTGCCTGACTTCTGATTTTTGCCTACTTCAACTAGTATCGAACGCGAACTTCTAAATCTTTTCGACGAGGTATGATTTTTAGAGCGGCCGATGGACCTGGAGACTTTAATAACAGTCACATTTTCGTGGACTGGGGATTTATCGACCTTGCGTCGTCCTTAAGCAAGGCCTATTCCAGGGGTGTTTCAGATGAGAAAATTATGCGCATGAAGAACTATCCTTACCTGGCAGCAGCCTGACCCCACCAGACTTTGCAGAGGTGGCCATAAATTTACGGGAATACACGGACCAATCAAATTACCCCTTCTGTCGAGTTAACTTAAGGCATAAAAATTATTCTCGCTGTTAGGCTTACATCCGTAGTAAACCTACCGTGATATTCACAGCTTGCTTAAGTTCCTTAAATGCAGGTCCGAAGGCCAACAGTCCAGGATTGTTGAATCCACTGTAAATAAGGCTCTTTATCAATCCGGTGACTACTGACGTTGGTGTCGCGACATTCTTCTATAAGTCAGTAACCCCATTCAAGGCCTCATTCAAGCAGCGTAAGTACAGGAACTCACCGGGAAATAGCCTGTGCTACATATAAACGGGGCACACCTCCGAAAGGAGGCGTGTAGGAGTCATACTAAGAACTGCGTGGGACAACAGAATTGCCGAGGAAAGCATGAATATTCCAAAAAACACGAGCGATTTCTTTCGGATGTAGCGGTTCAAAAAGGCGAAACGGAGGTTAAAACCTTGAGGGTCAAATTTGAAATATTTTGAATGGTCTGCCCTGGAAACCGCATTAGTGTGCTCTGTAACTGTTGGCGTTGAACTGGAGGCGAACTGCTTAAAGCCGAAGGGCAATCAAAAAACGCTAATCGACGACAGTCTTGGCCTGAAGTAAATAAGCGAACACAACCAGCACGTCTCAGCAGTTAAAATGACACATTTGCATCGTTTTATTTTGGCAGAGGTCCTGAATGAGTTAAAAACATGTCGAGTGACCGTCTTCTTAATCTTCCAGGGTTGAACAGAGCAATTTATGTAACACAGCTATTTCGCCAAAAATATTCGACTTTTAGAGAATGAGATGCCCCAGAATCACTTTTGGTCGAAGAATAACATACAATCTCAGAAACAATGCATCTAAACTACATATTTTGCCAAGAAAATACGTCACAGTGAAAATTCACACGTCGTGCTTATTAGTCCTGGAACTTAGAAATGAGGAAAGTCGAAATAACTTTGTTTCTGCGGGCTTCAGTCGCTCCAAGTAGAATTTTACGTCCCACTGTTTTCCAGATGGTCAGGAAGGGCATCCTGGCCCTGCATATTGACGCTTCGGTACAACGCATTTTCTAGGGTATAATAAATACTTCTAAATAAGGCTACCAAAGAGAAGTTACCTCTGCGGAAAGGTGTTAGTTAGACTCGAGGGAACTCAAGACTTCCGGGAGCATAATCAAAAAGAGGGTGGAGTATAGTGTTATTCGACAATATTTCGAGGAACGTCGCCTCGTGATCACTTCAGAGCAGCGCTATTCACACAACCAACGTAAAGGCAGTCAAGGCAAGAAGGGCGGAAACCGAATAAATTAACAACACAACTCCAGGCGCGTTTTTAACAGAGAAGCCATCTGAGCAAGGGCGGGCTCTAACATTGAAGGGAAGTTCATTGTTTCTCCAATAAACATCTCGTCAGCGAATAAACTTCCACGATCATTTATCTGACTGTGATAAAATCCGTCGATTGGAAAAGTTGACCGGGAGCCCCACGTTGATGACACGCAGCGCTGTCGAGGTAAAGGCCTTCTGGCCCACCCGCCCGTTATTGCATGTTACTGTACTTCTCGAGGTAAGATATGGTTAGGCAGCCCCATCTGATGGATACCATACTGTCAGGGTTATGGTTACGGTAACTACTTCTCAATCACTCAAAGTACAACCGCGCATTCCCAATAGCTTTTCTTTTGCATACAACTACTTGTCCTCGTGACCTGTGAGTTCCCCGGCCCCACCTGTAAAAACCCCTACTACCACCGGTCCCGCATAAGAGGTGGCTGGAGCTTGTTTACTTCAGGTGTTTTTGATAAAACAGACGTCTAGTCAGTGTCCGATGCATCATAATTCAAACAATCGAGCCCGTAGATGTGGTTACCCTGAAAACTTTCTGAAAGCCCAAAGACACCCCTTCCACGAGTACCAAATTTGAGGAAGACGCAGTTCGCCACCAAATGAATATAAAAGGAATACTTTTGTGCAACTTTTCCACAAGATATATTCGGACTTATAGGGGCGCCGAAAAGCACAGAGAAAAACTCATACTGGCTAAGTAGTCGTTTTGTATCGAGTGCGGTTTATGCGGGCAGCCGGGAAGAAGCACTTTTAAAAACCGGAATCCTGGCGTGACTGAAGTTTCTTGGAATTGGGTTGCGCATTAATCAATATTACAACCACAGTTAAGCTCTTTCATGGATGGGCACTCGGATGTAAATACACACTGCACTGAACAGTATTCACTAATTTGTTCTTCGTTCTACTGGATTCACCTCTGGCACTCACTGTCATTGCCTGTTAAAGGCGATCAAGAGAAGAAAAGTCTCAAGAAAGAGAGCTGAATAAAGGCATTCTTACTCCTAATTTGCATGACCACACTTAGTTAATCCATTAGAACATGTTGGTTCTGCAACGATGGCCACCGGAGCGCACCTTCAGACTGGGACGAAAAAGTGCGAGTGCAAAAACAAGGGTATCGGTAAGCTAACGTTTGTTTACGAAAATTTACAAAAAATATTATGCTCATACACAGGCAGGCAGACACTTCTTCAGGTTGAGGGTGGTACAGACTATAGAAGTATCAACAGGCGGCAGTAAAGATCGGTAAAGTCATGTGCATGTGAGGTAGGGAGCGGTGGGTAGCAAAACATGTACATACTTCAGGGTGGAGAAATAAGTACAGGTGGTATTCGACAGCGTTTCCTTGATCGGCAATGGTCAAAATAGGCGGCCAACAGACATAGCATTTGAAGGAAGGGGAGAAGAATGCATAACGGGACTCCTGATCGGGGGAGGAAGGGGGATTGGAGAGCCTCAAATGAGAACGGGGGATTGAAAGCGAGTTTGGTAGACGAACCAGATAAACACGCAAGAAGGGTGCCCAAAGACAGACGCAGAAACCTGGCGGAAGGAAAGGGAGCTGAGATCTCCCCACCCGCAGTCATTCACTGTGTGTCAAAGGGTCCTCATTGTGATGAAAAGGCGCGGGGACGCTGGTGATGACTGTCGCCGCTACCTGGACCGAAACCATTGGTGTAGGTACTGTATTTGGTGGAAGACAGTGAAACTCACGCCGGAGGCGATAGGGCCCTTGATCCAGTTCATAGTCACACCCTTGTAGAGGCCATGGAAAACGCCTTCGTGTTGGTAAACAATTCGAAGGGTTCCGAGAATGCTTCGTGTGTATTCAGGGTGACCTAAACGAACAAAAAAGAATGATGATCAAAGTTACCACTGTCAATAATGTTGATCCAACAGATCTCTAAAATGTTTAAAGAGGCGGTGCCACTACCTCAGTCTACCTTCTGGAGTCACGTGAGCACCACCACTGATCGGATGCAGAAACTTATGAAAAATCATCGCCTTTCCCTAGGACCGGCAGTGAAAGTAAAAGCAGGGGTGGAAGGGGAGTTCGAATCTGGCAAACCAGCTTCCCCGTAAAACACCAGAGTCCGATGATGACGATACTGCGACATGAGCCATTGATAAGTTCTTCCCCAAACGTTATCTCCCGGGATAGACCGTCATTCGAAATACAAGCTGAGTGCCAAATAACCTAGCTTGAATTGAACCGTTAAACATAAATCGTACGCAAGTTCCGCCATCAACAATCGCGACACCCCAACTTCTGCTAATGGATCGGATGGTAAATCCGCAAGAGCTATGTATGCGGTGGCTACGGAGCGACAGTTTGCATTATGTCTACGCTGTGTGTAATGACTAATTTATTTGACTCCTACCCAGCATCAGGCTCTCATCGGTGGCTTCATTAGACCGCACTCCGTGCAGCGGTACCACCCTGACAATTGTTTCCCCTGACATACGATGGCCTATGAGGGTAAGCGGTTGGCTGTCCCCCCCCCCTCCCCCGTGGAACTATAATGAGTGAACGATCTCATGAAATGTGGGCCGGAATTTTGAGATGCGTTTTCGACTAGGAAGGATTAAGTAGCTGGGGTTGTAATGTTGATTACCATGTGGCATAATCGTATAATATTTCGAACTTGTCAGGACGTCGGCTTTTAAAAGCACTTCTTTTCGACCTCCTGTAGAAACCGCACTCTGTGGAAAAAGACTACTTAAGTGGCATGCATTTTTCACATTTATTTTCGATGGTCTTATAAATTCAAATATATTTTATGGAATACATGCACAAAAATATGTTTTCTTTAGTTCGTTTGGTAGTAAATCAAGTTCCTTTCAAATTTTGAATCCAAAGGAAGGGCATATTTAGGTTCTGAAAAAGTTTCCCGATTCCCAAATAATTTGAGCATGAGCAGCTGCTGCATTTGCGTTTAGTGATTTCAGTCTGCCAAGTGGATACTTTCCGCGCAAGAGAAATCATATATCCCTACATGACTTTAAAAATATACCATGTAGAGTACACTGAATTTTGCAATGGCTGCGAGCTGTGTTGTATACCTCATGAGAAGCATTGGTTAGCGGACAGATACGACGATGTATGAGTGGACATTGCATGATCTTAAAAAATCTCATGATTAGAAACTTTTTGAAAACTTAAAGTTATCCTTTCTTCGAGTATAAAATATGAAGAGAACGTGATTTCCTACCAAACGAGCTAAAGAAAGCATAGCTTTGTGAATGTTTTCTACAAAATAAAACCATCGAAAATCAAGTGCATGCCACTTTAGTTGCTACTGTTCACCGAGTGCGTTTCTATGGGAGATCGAAAAGAAGTTCAAATGCCGACATCCTGACAAGTCCGAAATATGGTACATGAAAACCAATATTACAACCCCACCTACGTAATCCTTCCTACTCGGAAACGCATTTCGAAAGTCCGGCCCATATTTCATGAGATCGGTCACTCACGGCCTGCTTAAAGCCTGGGGAACAACCGGCCGTGTTTGTGGCATCCGTGGACGGGGGCTTTGTGTCAATTCAGGCACATTGAGCCTGCATCCCACCCCCGTGAATAAGTGTGAAGTCTGGTTCAATCAAGATGGCGGACTCAGTCGTGTTTCTGGCAGGCACAGATGGAGGCATTAAGTCCTCCGTCTTGCCATTTTAGAGCTCACTATGTTCGGGCTTATCACTGGCAAGATGCAGTAGGTGGGCTAACTCATGAAAGGTCAACCAAAATTCCGAAATGCGTTTTGGTTCCGAAAGGATTAATTAAGATGGGTTGTAAGACTAATCAGCCTGCAACATAATTCTATAATATTTCAGCTACCTCAGGATGTCGGCTTTCGAACGAACCCACTTTCCGGCTGCAAACAAAAACTACACTCTGTGAAAAACGACTAATCATTTAACATAAATTTTTCGCATTGATTTTCGATGCCCCTAAATGTCCAATTATATTTCATGGAAAACATGCTCGAAGGAATGGGTATTATTCGATTTTTAAAAATGTTTCCAATTTTCGAATAATTCTGAACGCGCTTTACCGTCACACTAGGATGCAGGGTTTCCAAACTACAAGCTGTATATTTTCCGCGTACGGAAAACCACACATTTCTCTACGGTAATAAAGGGGGACCATATAGGGCTCATAAAATTGAGCTTTGGATTTGATCCATATTGTTAACTTTACAAGCCACATTGGTAAATGCAGAGGCATGACGATTTATGAACGGCCATTTCACGGTATTTAAAAGTCCCACCATCAGAAACTTTTTAAAATCGAATTTTGTCCCTCCTTCGAGTATAAAATTGAAAGAAGACTTAATTTTCTACTGAATGAGCAAAAGAATGAATATTTTTATGCATCTTTTCCATGAAATATAATTTGACTTATAGGGGCACCGAAAATCAATGAGAAAAATTCATGCTACATAATTAGTAATTTTTTACAGAATGCAGTTTTTGCATGCAGCCGAAGGAAGTTCGTTCGACAGCCGGCATCCTGAGGTAACTGTAATATTACCGAATTATGTTGCAGGCTGACTGGTTTTACAACCCTACTTAATTAATCGTTTCGAAACGAAAACCCATTTCGGAATTTGGGTTGACATTTCATGAGTTAGCCTACTTACTGTAAGTGTGAGAGAGACAAGGGGAGACAAAAGGCAACAAAAGCTGTGCCTTGGAAGACAGTCAGATGAGGGCGTGGAGAAGGCCTCCTCCGCAGGAACGAGGTCAGGCTACAATAGCTCCTTAACCTGGCCTTAACGGCAACTGGCATCTGAGTGGAGTCGAGAGGAGCCGGAGTGCGGCACGCGGTAGACGGAGGCTCTGAGTCGATGCAACAAAAACCTACTAACCGCTGTAACAAAGTCCTGCGGACAGTGAGAGAGACTCTGTTGGTTGCATTTTTCACCAAACAAACAGTGAACCATAACGGATGCGGCAGCCGCCCAGAGAAACCAGCTTACCAGCACATGGGAGAGGAGTTAAAAAAACCTACCCCAAACATGCATGGCTCGCGGGGTGCACATAGCCGACCGTGGCTAGTGAAAGCTATAAATGTGCGCTAAAACAAGACCATTCTGCCATAGTGACTTCCGCCATTATGGCGGCCAATAGGCCGATCGACCTGAGGCCACACTCTTAGCAGTCGCGAGCTGGTCCAGTTCCAGATAAACATCGAGATCTCAGCAAGACCAACTTCTCAAAACAAGGACACCTAGGTGAGGTAGGCACAGGATATGCAGAAAGGCGATGCTGAAGTGGCCCTTGTCATCAAAAGCGACATGAAAACAATGAGCGTGTCATAACAACGGGTCTCCCCCATCGTAGAGAAAAACTTGGCACGAACATCAGAGCCTACCCATATCCCAGGACGACAAGCCATGACGATGAGCACAACTGGAGTTGGTGCCGCAAGCAGATGAACCGATTGTGCTTGGGGGTTTAAAAGTAAAAGTAGGCATAGGTTGTGTCAGGAGTAGTGAGAATTCGAGTCGTAGTTGGTCGGTCGAAGGCAGAGGCGTCGTTCACTGAGAGTTAATTTTGCCGTGACGCTTCGAGCAATCATTCCGGCTACCCAGTCGTGCGCACAGCTCTCATTGCGTGGATCATTTTGCCGGGTGGGTAGATCATCAATGTGGCCTGTGGATCTAAATCGGTCCGACGTTTCGTTGTGACCTGTATCGACCCCGACCTCGTTGACCGTGGCGATAATTGGCGGCCGCGATTGCTTCACACCTTCACTGTGTCCCGCTGAGTAGACTGGACAAACTAGACTGATGGGAGGCAAATTTATGCAACAGTTGACTGAGCAGTCGGTGGACATCCAAGCTTCTTGCCCTGATGTGTGGTCGTCGCCACAATCTTAACGGCGTCCAAGCTGAAGATGTGGCCCGTCCGCGCGACACTGGTCGCTACCTCCGCGCTATCCTTCGAGCGGTCGACTGATGCTCATACATTCACGTTTACAGCTGGTCTTCCGGTTGGCGGCAAGCAAGAACATCTAAGAACTGAAGTCTGTCCTCTATCGTAAACCGGAGATCGGGGGTGATAGAATTCGGACGCTGCTTTTAGTAACCAGCATTATGATGAGCGATGACGATAAGGGTGTCCTCAAAGAAGCATGCTCAAAATTAGGGTGGTTTAACCTCGGACAGTCCTCTTAGGAACTTTTGGAAAGCTGTCCCAGTAACAAACACGAACATATTTGTTCGCTTATGGTCCCTCGAAGGCAAAGAATGTTTTGGCGAAGCGCCCCACGACCTCTATAAGATACCCAGTTGCGGACAAGTCATAGTTATCATCGTGGTTTTGAAGCAGCAAGCTACTGAGTGCTTCGATTGCCACCCTGTGAAGTATGGAGCAACATTAAATGACACCATTCTTACCTTTACCTTATTCAAAAAATTCTCTGAAGCGTGAAGCGCTGTTTGTGAACCCGAGGTCAGAAGCCACAGTTTCTGGAATAACCAGTACGCAAGCCCGTAAATGGGCGTGCCTCGGAGGGCGGCGTCTGGCTTGTGCACTTTTTCGGAGAGCATGGAATAGCGCCAGTCTTTGGTGCTGATGACTTTATCTCTCAACATTCGAGCCAGGGTTATTGTCACCTTTACAAGATGGCTACATCGCGGAACCTACAGGACTGTCGATCGACCAGGAGTTCCAGGGATTTGTTTCGGTGGTCCGCTTTATCGAGAACACCGGTGGACCGGCCTCTGCCAACATGTTGATCAGCCATTTCGACGTCGGTCCATAACTCCTTCAGCGCTCGCTGTGCCTCCCTTAGTGGCGTATGGATATGCCTGCGTGACATAAGCAGCGAGGTGACATGATATTGACTAGTCTCAGACACCGGGTCGGCAAGGCACCGGTCCGAAGAAAACAAGGCAGCTGGATCAGCGTTGATTGTGTTATAACCGAATCACGTCCCAGTCTCGATAAGACGTCTCGGAGCTCATATAACCATGATCAACGAGGGCGGGCAAAGCGTGGAACAGATGTTCCATTCACATCCATAGTCGACAATGGCGATCTACTCACCAGACAAGATGCGCCATATAATGAGGGCTGTACGCACGACTCTCCAATCCCTGAAGCTGAGTAACCGAAATCACTACTTGAAATGCCAGAAAAAAATAAACTCCCCCCCCACAGACAAAGTGATTCGTGACGCGGTGACAAAAGTGAAGAGTGGCGAGACACTCGCCGATGACCGTCTCCCAATGGAAACGCAAAAGGTGCTATTCAACAGTATTAGTTGACCGATTAAATGACTGTCTTACCCCGCCCTCTCCCCCATTTTGGAGGCATGAACAGTAACCAACAAAAAGAGCAGCGACGTTACCGTTAGGCTGATCTTCAAGAAAGGCGATAGGTCACAGCACAAGAACTACAGTGACAAGTCTCCCCTGACAATGGCGCAGGTGATCACGATAGTTAACTCCAATCGCTTCAGTTTGTACCACGACGCACGAACGGGAGAGTAATTAGTGCGAGCCTCGGGTGTTCCACACATCGGGGCTGGGTATGACTGGCTGACGACGGCTAATAAGCCAGAAATGGCCATTCCAGTCTCCCTTGTCTTTGTCGGTAATGCCATTCTGCCGATATTATGCGCTGCTGCTGGTTGGGCTCGAGAGGGAGCCCGTAAGGCACAACGGAACGAGTGAGTTCCTTATGAACGATCCGTGAGCGCCCCCTACCATAGTAATTAGTCTACGCTATGGTCGCGGCGGAAATATGTTGATAATTACTTCACACTTCACCGGGCTGTCCATGTCTCCTCTGTCTCCTCTAACTCTATCTGTCGGGATTTCCTGTTATGATGCATATTGGCATGACGCAGAAACTGCATCCCTAGACTCAAGTCTCACGGAATAAGAACAGCAGTACGCGTGGTTGTCGAGGGGTGTGGCTACCTTGGGCGTCATCTCTGGCGCCTGGTAGGACTGCGATTCGTCACACAGAGCTGAATGATACACGGAGCTCTTCAGCACAACCTGGCACGCGACTCCGGTTGTGGTCCGCGTGTGCCTGCGCTGCCCTGCCGGCAAGATGTTTCGCAGAAATAAAATGTGCTGTTTCCTGGATGGACGCGAAACCAGCAGGAATGAACTTGAAAGGCAATTAATCGGAAACAAAGGACGACCGCCGAGGATTCACAGTATACCTCGTTGTAAACGCTAATAACCCCACGCCGAACTGGTGGACACATTCTGCTACCTTAAGTCTAAGATTGGCAGTCTGGTCAATCAATTGTGCAAGATCTCCGCCTGACTACGTTCAATCCTCTGGGGATCGCGGCATTGGGCAAATATGAAAACCAAGCTATGAGTAAACGCGGCCTCCCTTAAGCGAATCCCTCCAAAAACATGGTGCCGGGGTAATCAATTGACAAATGCTGTTGCAAGTAAGTGCAATAGATGCGCTATCTCATGAAATGTTGACCGAAATTCTGAAATATGTTTTGATTTCGGACAGCTTTTTTAAAAGTTGTGGTATTAATTATCGTGCGGCATTATCCCGGGGTATTTCAGTCACGTCAGGATGACATTTTCTAGCCACCTGCACAAACTACACCCTGCGAAAAATGACTGCTCAAGTAGTATGAACTTTTCTCGTTGATTTTCTGCGCCCTTGTAAATGCAAACATATGTTATAGAAAACATGCACGAAAATATACTCTCCTTCACTCATTTGGCAGAAAATTACGTCTTCTTCAAATTTTATACTTGAAGGGGAAGTGTATAGTTCTAATTAAGAGTTTTTCCGAACTGTGAAATGTAAAATCGTGCAGCATCGCATCAGCACACTTGCTAATGCTGCTTATGAAGTGGACAACGTGGTCCATATCCATCTACATAATTTTATAAGCCTTATATGTCCTCTTCATAAGAGCAATTAGAAATGTATGATTTTCCTTACACGGAAGGTATAAAGGTTGCAGTTCGGAAACCCGGAATGCAAGTGCAACGGCAGGTCGGGCTCAAGATTAATTGGGAACTGGGAAATATTTTAATAATGAAAGATACACTTTCTTCAAGCATAACATTTAAAGACGCGATTTGCTGCCTAACGAGCAAAAAAGAATATTTTGTGCATGTTTCCTATAAAGTATATTTGAGTTCACAAGAATATAAAAATCAATGGGACTACTCCTGTTATTTAAATGGTCGTTTTTTACAAAACACAGTTTACGCAAGCGGTCGATAAGAAGCTCATTTAAAAGCTGGCATCCCGACATAACTGGAATATCTTGACACCATGCGACGCGATAATTACTATTACAACCCTACTTAAGTAATCTTTCGAAGTGAAAACACATTTCTGAATTCACAAGAGCATTCGGCGAGCACACGAGTGCTTTCGATAAATTTCCATCTGGCTAATGCATTTATATGGAATCGGGGTACCAATTAAAATGTGTGCGCGATAAGAGAAATCGATTACGGTTCGTCTCTTTATACAAGCGGGGTGTGTACATAGGGGGGGGGGGATTGGGAGGGGGAGGGGGCACTTTTCACTTTGTGCCTCGCCCCTTGTCCGAACAACAACCGCGGAAAAAGCGGTCGCTATCGCTATACTCCGAATCACCCAATAAGCCACAACCGCTTCGTCCGCTCCCGTGTTCGACCATGATCAGCTATGACGCCGGACTTCACAGATTGTCTTATTGAGTTCTGATTTTGGAATATGTAGCATATATCTGTGGAGACGCGCTCAGAACATCCGGTTGGGAGGTAATGCGCCTGAATGTAGTCAGAACGTTGTTATCTCCTGTCACTTTCATAGGAAACAACCCATTAAGTCGGCGTTTACGTGTTCGACACAGGGATGTACTAACGCCCTAACGACGACAAGTCGGTAAGTTAGCTTCAGAACTAAATAAAGGTCCACTTACTAAAACACACTGGAATTCGGTACATGCAAGCAGGACGTCACAAGGGGTTGGTGCCGGGGGGGGGGGGGAATAAACGCTTGTACATGCACGAAATACTTAAAGTTTACTCAGACGTGAGTAGTGCACTCCCATTACCGTCCCTTTCGCGTGGACAATTAACGCGTAAGAAGTACGTCCCGAGGTTAGACTTAAGGCAGCCGGACGGAGAAACTGTCCGTGCCATGACGCGCTGCTAAGACCCAGATTTTTAAAATTCCGGACTGTCTAGAGGTTGCCAAGTCAATAGCAGCGCTGAACAGAGGTTCCCACTGGCAAATGAATGCTGCCAACGGGATAGAGATTTGAGTTTGCATTGATGGAACTCGAGCCATCTCGAAATATTCGGGTTAAAAAGGGTTTGGCGGACCGCTGCGCACCCCTAAGCGTTCAGCCAGTACAATTAGTAATTTAAGACATTAAAACACAACCGAAAGGGTAAAAGTTAGGATATAGTAGGAACAGATCTACAGAATAGGCTATTAATGATCAAGTTAAATCTAGACGTTTTGCTGAGATTGAGTAGGCGACAATGGTGGTCATGATGGCTTTGCTGGGGCAGCGATGTACCAAGACGGAGAGACGCACCAGTTGCTCCCATCTGGCCACGCCACCCAGGTTACTAGGGTGTGGCTACCGCGTTCAGCTGGGCGCAGGTGGATTTTGGTGCGGCCGTCAACCCATAAGCCAGAAGTACTTCGGCCTTCCACTGGAGACATCCTCCGCGATGCCCCGATTTACAACCCAAAACTAACCGAAAACGACCTAAAGGCGACGACGATAGGCAATCACCCCGTCCTCCGAGGACGACAGTACAACAGAGGTCTCTAAAACATAAGCTGACAGGTCCATGAAAGAAACTTTACAAGGGGAGAGGGGCAGTCCGACTGGCCGTCGGGAGAAACAGTAATTGCATGTGAGTTAGGAGTCCTAGTTGTCTTACCTCAGGTCCACGTCTGCTCAATGAGCAGAAGCGTATTCCTACGCATAAGAAAAACTCTCTACAAGGCAGGTCGGTTTCCGTTTGTCGTACTAAGTGAGTGGTGATGATGATTTCCAAAAAAACAGTTTGTCGCCGGAGTAAGCGCAGTAACAGAATCAATCTTTTCTCGTTGCTTCATTCTCTGGTGTCAAGATGACTAGAGCCTAGAGTGAAATGGTGACCGAAAAGGCATTCTGCCTAGGTCCAAAAACGTCCGCGAGATTTGCCACAGTAGGGCAGGGGGAATAACATTTTGGCCGTCTGCCGCAAGAATCAAGTTACCTCGTAGTCAACCTTCCCAGCTGCCGTATTTAAAGACGCTGTGGGAGCCCAACGGTGCATCGGATTTATTATAATACGAAAAAATCGCGCAGGGTCGATTTCACGCCCTCGCTCCAGTTACATGTGCTGTAGCGAAGTCAAAAGGACCATCGATGAGATCGGGCAAATCGGCTGACATGACACTAAGGCTCCGTACCTCACGCCCCCCTCCCCCCGGGGGTCTGATGAAACAACACCAAACACTTTGAAGAGCGCCTTTCTGGAAACCCGGAGCGACAAATGTTAAAAGGTTGATGGGTGTGAGACTCACCGGTGACGGCTGCAGTCTGCATACGTCGCCGAACAATGTCCAAAGGGTAGGAGCAGGTCTGTCCAAGGATGCCAGCGGTCGCACCACAGAAGAGGTTCTCCAGGGGATGCAATTTCATCGGCGTCTTACCAGCGCCAGACTCCGAAACTTTCCGACGTTCTGCAACGGGTAGAAAAGAAACGTCAATAATTATGTCAACAGAGACCTAGCCTGGAAAACAAGGAATGGATTTTTTGGGCACGAACCAGGTTCCCCCCCCTCCCATCCCGGCAACTACCAAATGAGTCTGACCATCGACCTTAAGCGCAGTCCTAAATGCATCTTCAAACAAAGGGGTGTGCCTCGTCGGTCTTACACTAATTTGGCTTTTTGTTGGCGACTCGTCCAAGCACCCCTACCTCGAAACATTCGATTCCCTGAGACAATTTGGAAGAAGATAACTTATATGCCCCCCCCCCTCGGCGGGACACGGGAATAGGAACGTCCCCACCCGTAATACAGGCAGCCTTGTGCAAATTACAGGACGGGGACCCATTCCCGTGTCCTAACTCTAACTTCGGCCCTAACCATAACCCCAACGCTCACTTAACCCCAACCTTAAATCAAAGCCGAACACTAACCTTAGTCATAATTCCGCTCTAATCCGGAGCAAAGGCAGCTGCATTATGGGACGTTTTTATTCCTGTGTCCTGCCGGGGGTGAGGGGTGGGGGGAGATAAGCGACCCATACAGAAATCTGAACGAGTTTATATTTATGGCCGCAAGGCAGCTCAAACCTAGCACGGTAGAATATAGTTGAAACCACGTCCGAAGCGACAGGACGTCTGAGAAGGGATCCACCTTTCGGTCTAGCTGCACGGCGCGTCCGATAGTTGGTCATTATCGATGGCGAGCTCCGAAGTAGGCGAGACCTAGGGTATGACAAATAAGTAGCCAAGCAGCATGCCGCGGTAAAACCTTCGGGCGTGGCGGGGCACCGATCTGGCAAACGAGTTAACAGTCAAAAAGATCATAGGCCATGGCGGTATTGACTGAGGTCGACTCTCAGGAACGTGCAATCCGAGTCGCTCACTGCCCGTGTTAACACCTGGCGTGTTGGGGGAGGTGGGGCAGGTTCTGGGTGGCGCGTGCAGACGAGCTGTTCAGCCTTGTCAGCCACTGCGCCCGATCCCGTCCCCGGTCTTACTGATGCTGTCCGGTGGGTGGGGAGGAGTGGGTGCGATAGATGCTGCGCAAGAACACTAATAACTACAAGCTACTCCACGTGCAAGTCACCGCCCCTGCGTCCGCCACGATGCACGGCACAGAGCGCAAATCGTCGTTCGCGACAGTCGAAGTGACACCTTACAGGTATGCCCAAAATGCGTCCTCTATTCAAAGTACATTAACTCTTTACTCCAAAACTGTTCCTGCGTAGGCCCAAGACATAGCGCCCCTGGAAACCGGAAAGGCAATAAAGATGCGTCGTATGGCACACATACACTGCGAGGCCCAGGAGTCATTCGCTATCTTAAGCTCTACAGAATGAATGTAATGTGCATATCTTGCTTATAAGAGATGAAATACAAAAAATAGCAAGGCAGCGCGCGCATAAATCTTCAACAAAAGTGTGGATTTAAGGAGTCAGTCAGGAAAAGATTCGGTTGCTGGAACAAGTCTTACTTTTCTGGCCTTCACATCCACACTCGGACCCACTATTAGACGCAGAATCAGAGGCGCGTGTGTGGTACCGGTAAGAATGAATCGCTACACGACGACGTGTCTGCTGGTTGAAGAGGCATGCAGCGCCTTTAGTACAAATGCCGGCAGACACTACTAACGGTGAATATGGGATTCCGAGACGTAATATCAGAAAAAGGGTGCTTCACTACAACAAATGTACTGACGCTCCAAGCGGAAGGTTAGGCTGTTCGATCCCCATCCTGGAAGTCGATGGGTTAAATAGATAGTCTTGACTGTCAACGTTTACTGCCCGAGCTGTCCGTGAGATAGCTTTTACCAGAGTAAGTAGGCTCAATCGCTGTAACAAGGTAATCACTCGTTTGGTGCCTCCTCGGGTTAACACTTGAGTCTATAATCAGAGGCAAAAGAAGGAGCGACAGTGCTTACGGACATACATGCTGACTGGCAGAGAGCCCTTAGATCCCAGGTCAGCGACTGTACGGATCGGCTTTTACTGACGAGTGGGTAAATTCGAAACGCCGGATGAACAGAGCTTTCGTTCCAGAGAATCTACCTTTCCACAGTTACTACCCGAAACTCACCTTTTAGCATGCATTAGAATGGGGGGGGGGTCGAGGAAACGATGATGGGCTGTTTGCTCCGGCAGTAGTAAGCATGCGTATGCGGACGAAAACAGGGGCGGAGTAGTATATCCGACCGAGAGACATTTACCTATATGTCGTCGACTACTAGCGGTCTTCAGCGTCCAGTGCATCAACCTTCTTCAAGTTTGATATGGCTGCTAGGAAGCATCATCAAAGAGTAATTGAAAAACAGCTTCGAAGTCACATAGCGGTAGCGGTCTCATTGCAGAATGGGTATGACTGGGTTTACAAAGGCAAGTCCACCAGTTTCTGTCGGCAGAACAACCGCTTCCGCTGACTAGCCGACTGAATCTGCTCATTTCGTCATTAGTTCAGGACATGAGCAGTCATTCGCTAGGCCAGTAGCGTGAACGAACGAAGAACAACGTGTGATAAGCTGAAAATCGATCAGATGTTACTCGGTTGAACAGCAGGTGCAGCCTTGGCCTCACAGAGCACGTGCGTAGGCCGCCAGTGAACCAGGCGAACCATTCGGAAGTACAGAAGTACACGCCAGAGACCATCGCCACTGATCGTACGCAATTGGCGAAGTTTTTATTCGCAATAAAGCAAGGGGCATTTACAGCATTTGAGTGAGACAAGATTACAAGTGAATTAACTGTTCAGAGTTAATGCTCCTCCATGTTTCCACAACTATCTGATTCGAAAGTCAAGTAGGAGTGCAGCTTCACAAAACCACTGAACTTGCTCCCATTAGCCCACAGCGGCAACCGACAGCATATGCTCATTCGCAGGCATGAATTGATACGATCAGCACTCGCTTTGATCCGGTCTGCGACCATCGCTGCCTGGGGCAACAGCTGAACGTCCTGTGCGGGGCAAATCCTTCCTTTTGATGAATTCCGTCGTCTTCTACAAGCCGGTACTTGGTCTAATGATGCTTAAGGCGCAACCGATACCTTAGCTACCACGCGATTCTCCTTATTATCTGTTTGTCGTCATGCGAACACCGCGAAGACCCTGGCTCGGAACTCCAGAGGAAAACGGAGCGGGTGCGCCCCTCTCTGCAACCAGATAAGTGAAACATCAATCGAATTTGACTGAGTACTCTGGACCGCAGCTCACAAGGCGTGAGCCCGTGGCTTGACTGCTGGAAAACTTGACTCAAAAGGTTTGGTAACCTGTTGGACGGCAGTTTTCAGGGCAGGGTTTCGGGTAGTACTAGCTGATGACGGGAAATAAGCCAAAAGGCCATTTCAATTCCCCACTGCCTTCGTCCGCATTCCTTCTGCATTATCTGATCTTACTAGTTTTGAGCGGCTTCTTCATCAACAGGGCCGCAAAATACCCAGGCAGGTGAGCAGAGGCGAAAACCCTGGAAGCCAAGGACATGCAAGGACCTTCGCCACCACAAGGTGGAGCAGATTCGAAAATATTATCGTTAAAGCCGTGACAGTAGGCACTGTTGGCGTCCCTGCGAAGCAAGCAGTCAGAAATCGAAGATGAACTCAACTTTAACATCGGGCTGACTTTGACCTGCGCTGGGAAATGTAACAGAAAGGCGGAGGTGGATGTCAGAATGTCGCTGCTCCGTTACATTTTGCGCAGCACAATTCACAAGTCGAATCGGGACGGTTCGAGGGCCTGGAAGTCCGGTCTCAGAGTCAACGCAAACATGCAAAAAGCTACTCACTTTTCTCTACGGAAGACCGCGCATGAAAACGTGCATCTTCACATAGAAATTGTCAAAGGGGTCAAGAGTCATTGTTTGAAAAGCAGCCGAAGGTCTGCTCGCTACGGCCTTACTGGTAGGGCATTATACGAGGCGGGTGCAAAAGTCGACTTTCGCATTCCTTCGCCCAAATCGGCTTCAAGAGGGCAAGAAGTTCAATGACAGGGCGGAATTAAGATTCCTAGGTATTGAAAGGATATTCTATTTTATTATCCAGACGTTGGATGGGCGTAAAGATTGGTTCGCCCATATAAAATTCTTTATGCCTCCAAAGGGAATACCCCGGTAAACACAGGACAGACTAAAATGGTCACTTCTGATTTAATCGCCGTCAATAACCAGCTATGACTTAAACCCAAAAATGAAGGAACATGAGACTTGAACAAAGTCACGCTTGCCTTTGTCGGCATTCCTTCCTCCTGGTTGTCTATCGCCATGAAACCAACTGCAAGGTTCTACCTTGTAACTTTAAAGAAAAAGACAATGCATATTTTCCGTTCTACATGGAATTCGCACAGTCCCAAGCCAATGTGAGTTACAGCGCTCTCTGGTCGCATTTTCTACCGCATACCTAGACAGCGCACAGCAGAATTTTGTGGAGGCAAGTCAAGTTGGTATTTGAGATCCCAGTCTATACTGTAAGCCTTCGGCATCAGAATTTTTCTTCCTAAACAGCTCATTGCATTTCGGGTGTCAGCAAGACAGAATGTCCGACCCGACTGAGATGACAGCCGGGGGCGCTGGCTTGTAAAACGTTTTTCATCAAGGCGGGGGGGGGTTAGACAAATACTTCAAAGAAAAGTCATCTTACTCAATCTCCACTCCTTGAGTGTTTCAAAGGTAAAGAAGGCAACGCCGGAGTAGGGTATGCTTCCGAGAAGGGCTGGCGCGAAGCCGCGATACAGAGAACGAATGCCCTCCTCGCGATACACTGACCGCAGAACGGCAGTCAGGTTTGCGTACCTGCAGAGGACAAAAAGGAGAGTTGAATAAAGCATGCAAGAGAAAATTGACATGAAAAACTCGGCCTACTGATAGAAGAAAATTCCGTCAATTTGGATGATGACGCCACTGAGAGTAGAGGAGAGCACGGGGTACAACCACAACGGGTTCATTCATGCCATTCAAAAAGACCTCAATGTGTGTAGCAGCCGACGGCTCCATATAGATAGGCACATATGCATCAAAGGTGCACTATAGCTCCACGTGCTGACTGGAGCAAACGCTCCAGTCAGAGGAAAAAACCCAAGTGTTGTCGCAGCACTATGGCAGTATGGTGGCGGGTCAATGGGTCAGAGGAGCGCGAACTTTCTGTTGAAGATTTCGCCAGTCATTTGTGAGAACACTGTTCATAATTTCTGAGCATGTAGCGTGCTTCAAGCTGCTTAGGTGGGGGCTACTTTTTATGAAAGAGATTAGCATAGGATACTCAGCTGGTAGTTGTTTTGTCAGAAAGTACTCAAATGCATGGGGGTACACTGGATGCTAGAAGTTGTGCGCCTCGTAGTTCCGTGTTATGCAAACTCGGGGGTTTCGTGTGGCATCTAGAATCCTAGAAGATAGACCAACCAGGCTGTTGGCTCGGGCATGCCGCAGAGGCTGACTTAGCGTATTGGAATGAGCTTTCCGTCTTCAGACGATCACAGGTTTCGACGAAAAGTACTTTTAAAAAAACGGCTCAACGAGAAAAATTCGCTCGATTGCCAAACGCGGTACTGTTGTACTTTAGGCTTCTGACACATCACAGGCAGTGCAAAGAATGAAGTGACAGAGTCCCGGTACGTTGACCTTCGGCATCGAAGAGACAAAATCACCCCTAGGTAATAGTCCATGTCTGGATTTCATAGATGCCGTGGGACTTTACACCAACTCGTTTATTCATTTACGAGAAAGCGTCTACAGGCACATCACTTGTCGCGCCCCCTTTAACGTCCACGGGAGCGCGTATGGAGAACAACGCACTAAGAACTGTGGCCCGGGAGATTGCCAACTGAGAGAATAACACAGTTCTGCTCAAAACTGAAAGGTAATTTGAAATGCCCCCTTCTTAATGCGGGTTTTACGACACTCCTATCTATGTGAGACCTTAGCCACCCTTGTTGTGAAAACGCGGTACATTGAGCGAGGACCAGGTCATGTGTAGTACGCATGGACGAGTTATTTAACTTTGTCAGTCACCGCGCCCTCGCCTACCTACGTCGTCTTGATATTGTCTTGCTCTTGATGATCGATGGGCAGGAAAGGAGTGAGTGCGGCAAATGCTGCACAAGTCTGCTTCACGCGCAAGTCACGGGTGCTGCGTCCATCCCGCGCGACGATCAAGTTGTCATGAAACAAGCATGCCAAGAGGTACGACAGAAATTGCAGGAGGAACGAAATGCCATTTCTCGTCTATTACTTATCGCCATCATCAGCCAGCCACAGGCAACCCAAGGCAAAGTCGAATGTCTACAATCAAGATACATCAGTAAACGATACTATCGTGTGGACTTCAATCCTCCCGACTGCAGCGGGCGCGGCGTGGGCTTGCGTCCGTGACAGACTGGACCTGGATTAAAAACTAGAGCCATCCCAGCCCGGGGGGTTGCTGTCTGGTAGCAGCAAACATGCCAAAATATGGCCATCAGGCCCTCTTGTCTTTGCTGACAATATATCTGGATTGGTGATTGTCCATCGCTATGCTACCGTTTGTGCCCACCCAAGACCAGAGCACTTAGGCAAAACAGAAGCCAGCAAAGTTTGATGGATGAGGTGATCAATCTCATGTAGCAGGTATGTCCCTCTGGACGGCTCATTTCCTCCGGATAAAAGCGTGTTTGTAGAAGCAGAAATGGGGCTGAAAAGATAATCATTTGCCTTGATCTTCCACTATCCAGGTCAAGAAAATTCTTTGCGCCGCAAACCCGTCGAGTAGTCCTATGGCTTCACCAGCTTTCAGTTTCAGGCTGAATTTGAGAGATGATTGTGTTGCGGAGGACGGATCGCGTCTCCTGGATGGCATTCTCGAGAGAGACGGCTTTGTCGACATGAATAAGGTTCGAGAAGCGGGTCAATTTGCAGTCCATATGTTGCTCAGCGCTATAGTCTGGGCAGAATCTATCGTGTACTTGACGCTACGTTGCGTTGGACCAAAATGGAGGCCAAGTGGGAGTCCGGCACGCGGTATTAGACTACCCTTACATAATGAACTCCATACATGGGGATGCGACGGCACGCCTACGTGCAGGCTCACGCCGCGCTAACCACCTGGGCCCAATTCTGCCTCCGGTCTTCTTGACTCTGTCTTGACGCCAGTCCCGGGAGGGTGGGAGAAGAGTTGTGATAGATGCGGAGCAGGTCTGCTGTCACCATAAACTAATTCATACGCACGTCACCGTCCCTGCACCCTACCTTGCTGTGGTGCACACCGTGGACCTCGTGGGAAACGACCAAACTATCGTATACGTAACGAGGACTGATGACAAGAAACAGTCCTACTAGAAGTCAACACTGACGACGAAGCAATCGTCTGTTAAGTCGTATGCCATGCATTTTTCTTCTCGTGACCAGACAACATTCTAGGATTACGTTCATGCACATTTTAGATCTAGGTGGCATTACCTTCGGACAGAAACCGCTTCGAAACTAAAAGAAAAAAGGTCGACATTCTAGCATGTGAGCTACTAAACCGCAATTCCTGATTGACAAGGTACATGCACCTATTTATAGCCCCCAGTCAACATTGGTTTCACTAATAGCAGGTTTGCCGACTATAAGCCGTGAAGTTTGCCTCGCTCTGGGAAGCATGTCTGTGCAGCGCCCACTTCACTTTCTTCCCAACACAGCATATTCCGACGGTGAAGAAAACTCAAGAAAATTGGAAGAGCAGTGGTTGGTGAGATTGAAGCTATACCTAGGCGTGCCACACAAGAACTTGTCTTTAACCACACAATAACTAGGGCCACTCACCTTAAATGAGTGAGAATACAATAAGAATAATAACAGGAACGAGTAGTGGAAGCCCGACTCTCAGTTCCGAGCAGGACCGAGTTATCCTATCAATCAGAAATTTTCTGAATCACGACTGTGGTGGCAGTTTAAAGACGCAGTCTATTGCTTACGATGACGATGTGAGGGAATGACATTAGAGCTGGGACGGAATTACGCCCTCCCCATGCTCTCCCATACACCAGAGTCCAAGTCTAATCGGTTGATGGTGAGAGTTGGCGCAGTGGCTGACACGAATTCAGGTCGTTTTCTTGAGCGTGTCTTATGTTCCGATCTCACAGGAGTGAAGCTAACGCAAATATAACATCAAGGAGTCATTACAGTCTGCTTTTCGTCTCGTAGGTCGGCAACGCTGCGAGCGGTGACAGTTTCATGCGTGTTAAATCTATTCTAGCAAGGCATGCGTTAAAACTGCCACTAGGAAGGGCACTTCAGTAGCAGTGACGTGTTCTGACCATTCGTCAGACTACCGATAAAATTCGACGCATTCCTGATGTGACATGAGTCTCCACCGAATGAGTGTCACGAGCGTCTGCGACTTACACGGACTCAGTAGGTCCCGCTTTTTGTGGGGGAGAGAAACAATAAACCAGACTTTGTACCGCATTAGACGACTTACTTGCCACGTTGAGTCACAGCCATGCGAGCACGCGCCAAATCGAGGGGATATGTTGTCGCGACAGAGCTTGTTCCGGCACAACATCCAGCCACAAAACGACGGACCCGAACGCTTGAAAGAGGCCTGTAGAAATGACAAAAAGAGGGTAACCAGCATCATTGTTAACTGTCTGAGTAAACGTCCCGGCCGATGCATAGAAAAACGGGAAGCCGTTGTTCTGTTCTGTGTAGGGTTGGCAAGCCCATAAAGTGCGCGTTATGACAGGAGTGCTCAATAAAAACGAAAAGTCGGAGGTCCTGGGACAAAAGTTTAAGTCAGTCCACCACGGAGGAAACACTACCGGATCGTTTAACAAGTCAAAGTCGAAAATCAGAACTGGTCGGCGTGCAGAACTCGTCGGCAACGCGTTTCCTAGTGTAAGACCGAGCATTGCCATCAGTATTCTTACAAACTAGACTGACAATGGGAATCGAGTTTAGTGGAAAGAAGGTCCTAATTCCGTTCTTGGCGAGACCCTAGCAGTTAACTTTAGACAACAGCCTATTGGAAAGCAAGCAGCACTATAAAAGCCATAAACTTCTACACCAACCATTCGTCAACACAAAAGCGCATATATGTAAAGAGGCTCTTTAAGCGGACACCTACGCATTGCAACAATCGGTAAAACAATACGTGCAAACCTTGAGGTCCCGACGTCAGGGTTCTGATGGATCGTTTCCCAAAAGCCCCTAAAACCCGGTGTTTTCAAGTTCACCACACTATAACTTAAGCAGGGAACAATCTGGAGTAAAGCAAATTCGTGCCCATATCAAAGAATCCTCGAACGCGGCTTTAAGCGTTGATGCAAGACGGCGTGTTTGATTTGCACCTCGGCGCAAAGTTATCAGGCGCAGCTATGTTCTGAAGATGAACGACTAGTAAACTCAGATGATAAATGTGGAGTAATGACGAATTTATGCTCTAACTGTCCACGGAAGTACGCATGCTAGGAAAAAAGAATGTTGAGATAACAGAAATGAGCACAAACAGGGTTTTGGGCGGGAATACTAACTATTCTAAACTGCAGTCTATAGCCAAAATCAATTGCATCGCTCAATTTTGCAGCCACGAAGATAGTTCTTCAGGACGAAAGCCAAGTATAACGAGATCATGGGAGTCCGTAGGTTTGGCGAGGACTCACCTACATACCGTCACAAGCGCTACTTAGTATGCTCGTAGTTCGTATGATAGCACTGCTGCAGGACAAAGAACGAGGTACATTTCCTGCGATAATTGTTGCTTATAAAGTTCAACTGTCCAGCACACAATAGAACAAGGAAAAACGACGAACAGGATATCAGATCGACGTCTCCATCGAAAAATGAAACGACTTAGAAAGCAGAGCACCTGCGGAAACTAATGCACAAATGTTCAACGTTGACTAGCTATCCAGATATAAAGGATTGAAGGCATGCCTCTCATTTCAGACTTTGATGGGCTATTGCTCGGCTAATGCACCCAGAGGCGCAAATTCGATTATCCAGACAAGTCAACGCTCCTCTAAGAGCGTGAGGGGTCGGGGGAGTAATTGTCAGGACAGTTCCGGAAAAGGCAATGGATATTACATGCGACCCTTATGTTGCGAATGTGGCAAACGGTGGTCATCAAATAAACACTGACGCTCCAGTCCAGATGAGTTAAAATTGAACCATTGGAAGCCCACCGGCTATTCAGAGGACATACATCAGTTAAAATACCTCATTGGTCCCATTAGAAAGATACCTACTGCCTGTCCTTCGCCATGGACCAAACTGGCAGAACGAGAAGACAATCCTTTCGACAATATTTAACAATCGGCGAAGACCTTATACAGGTACAGAGGCTCGTGAGAAAACAAAACGTATGCATACACAAAGCAGATTGGCATTCATTTCGTCAGCCGCCTAGGATATTTTCTTAATCATCTTCTCTTAGTTGGATGCACCAACCCCACAGCGTGCAAAGACTTTTACTCGTGGAATTAGTTAGGATCGCGCCGTCCTGTCGAATAAAGAGGACAGATTATAAAACCCGGTTAATAGGGAAATATAAGACTCAAACCCTGTGAAGATACGGCAAAGAGGGAGATGAAATATTTAGCCAAGCTCCATCACCCCGGGATCTATACGGCTCATTTCGAGAGTACGCGGTCAGTTTTAGCCATCATTAAGTTCGGGGGAAGGTAATGGGCGTGGAACAATGACGGCAAACATCGTTTACAAATCTTGTACGACGAAAAATGCCGTTTTACTCAAAACCACGCCGAATACTGAAACGAAACTGGGAACACGGGTGAGCGAATGTTGGCATCATTCAAATAAGAACAATTAACCGGACCATTTGCGAGCATCTAAGCAAAGCGCTGTTAGGATGGTATGAGGCAAGAGAGGGCAGAAGTTAAATAGTTATCAGATAGCAGTAAAAGAATAACAATCGTACATATGGGAGAGGTCCGCTTCGTGAATTCCCAGTACGGACTTGGCTCTTTCGTGGACAGAGTACTGCACAGCAGCATAGGGGAAAATGCGGGTCAGTGTTGCCGAATTACCACGCCAGAGACTGAAAAAACCATTTAATTTGTATGACTCCCTCAGAAACCGGAACAGGGCTTTCACGTTAAAATACATCTCAGACGCTAGAATAGAATAAGTAAATGGGGGCCGAAAACCCACTTTGAAAATTTATTTTGGCACGATCAAGAGGCGCAATTGTTGTCTTTGCCGCACATCCTGCAATACCGCCGATGATAAAGTTGGAATAGACAGGAATAAAACGCTTCTTGGAAGCCGGGGGTTGAAGAGGCTAAATGGAGGAATTTCGAGAATTCGAGTCTCCACATTACCATGGGAACTTCTCTAGAGTTGGTTGTCATTCAGAGTATTTGCAGTGGACGACCGTGTACTTGATAGATACGATATAATGGCAGGCAGATAGCCACCGTTTGCATGGGGTTTAAGACTTCTACTTGGCCGATTGGTCGCGACGGTCGATACGAATCTTATCTACTAATAAGATAAATTGAGCACATTCAGCTGCCGGAGGGAGAAGACCGAGGACTAGAAAATTCAATGCGTCTTCTGGCGTTCTAGCTCAGTAAAAGTCACGCCAGCCCATCGGATATTAAATCTTACATTTCATCAAGAATTTGAAGACATATTATTATCCCGTCTTAAATAAATTCCTTGTTTTGAAAACAAAAACGTTTAAGATCTGCACATCATCAGACAGCTCACAGCTACTAAAACCGCAGTACGAGAAATAGGTCATACAGCAGTTATACAAACTGATATACAAGCTGAGAAGTAGGCATAACAGGCAAATTCCTCAAATAAATCGAAAACTTCTATGTGATTCAACAGCAGGTTGTGTGCATTGGTCAAGAGAGATCGGATTCTGCTATTATCGAGAGTAGTGTTTCCGTGTGTTCAGTACTTGGTCTCACTTTGTTCCTGGTAAACGTGGACGATTGCACAAGAGTTTTGGACTGCAAATCAACAATGTTTGCAGACGACATGAAGATATGGAGTATAATTGGGGGCCCTGCCGACGAAGATAGGCTGCAGATGAACCTCGGTCGGTTGAAGAAATGGTCAAACCGTTGGCTCCTGCGGCTCACTGTTGGTAAGTGTACCCTACTACGCCTAAGCAACACAGCCAGGTTCGTCAGCAAAAGAGACTACTTTCTGGGTGATGCAGACTCACGGGACATCGAAGCCCAAAAGGACTTCGGTGTGCTGACGACGAACTCCTAAAAACCATCTGCCCATTTATGAGAGTGCCAAGACTCGCAGTGTCCGCACAGTACGCCATCAAGCGTGCTTTTATGGATTTTGACAAAAACGCCTTCTCCAACACTTTTGGAACATTCGTGCGGCCGCACTTTGAATATGGCATACAAGTCTGGAGACTGTGGGCAGTTCAAGGCCAAAATTGCCTCGAAAGAGTTCAGAAGATAGCCACATATATGGTTAGGGGTAGACGCTCCTTTCCTTATGCAACCCATCTAGTAAATTTGAACCTCTTCCCTTTAAATTATAATTAACTTCGCAGGGATCATTTGCAAGCCTTCCGCTTAATGAAGAGGTTGAACGGCAGCCTGGCCTTTGGGAACATTTCGAATTCGCTACCTCGACCAACCTCCGAGGTCACCCGTTAAAACTTCGAACTCAACAGGGAAGGCTGGAGATGAGGCGGTTCTCCTTCTCTGTTCGAATGGTCAGACCATGGAATTCATTTCCTGCAGATTATGCGATGTCACTATCGATATAAAGCCTTTAAAAGAACCATGACATATTAATTTTCTAAAATGACGAAGAGCAGTGAGAGATCGAACGCATCCCCTGTGACTCACTCATATTTGTCATACCTTTACGGGCTAGTTTAAATTATTTCACCCTGGCCTATTTCTCTGTACACCACACCCATTTGTATGTTGCAAGTAGGGTGCTTTAAGGCTCACGCCAATTCCCCTTAATAAACTGAATTGAACAGCAGAAAAAAATACATGAAAGGCGAACGAACGTGTATATAAGAAATCAAATAATCAAACTGGGTAAGAAAACATGAAAAACGATACGACCTAGTGTATAATATCAAAAATACGAATACACAAAGCAGCCTTTTTTTCAATCTGTCACGAAGACACCAAATTGGACGAAGCGTAGAGATTGTACCTGCTCATGTACCGGCGATGAATAATTTAAGACACATGTGTATGTCTATGGACCTCCTGTACTCTCTAGCGAAATCGTGAAATGAAATAAATAATCTGCTTTGGATTGCCTCAAAATGTGCTGGGCGGCACCAACTGACGTGGCCGTGACGGGCGCTCCATCGATTAGCCCCTCTCAATCCTATCCCGAGAAACAATTATCTTCCTTTCCGTCCCCCCTCTCCCCCGACGAATCGAATGGGCTTGTTAAGGTTTGGTTCCAATTGCTTCTCCATCTCCGCGGCGTATTTTCATTTAGATAAGCAAGCAAACTGTTTTGTTTATGACTTATGACGGTTTTGTCAGTTAAAATCAAATCACTCAAATAAGTCACTCAGAAATGAATTTCGGACGGAATAAGTAAAAATTTACACTGGTTTAATTTTGTATTTACAATAGGCAGCCAAATATTAAAAATGAACAAAAGTAGAAAAACTGCATCGAGACTTGGTTGAAGAAGACGTCAAATCAATGCAATTTGTTAGTTCTTAAGAAGAGGAACCGTCATTCATGAAGAGGATCGTAAACGCATGGTCCAGGACTACCGTGAGGGGGAGAAATATTCCTCGTCAAGGGAGAATTCCTAAATCAGATAAGGATATTCTTGAGAGGAGAAGTCCAGCGTGATCATCCACAGTCCGCTTCGAGTCGAAACGAGGAGGGGACTTTAAGAGGCGGCAAGGAATATCGAAGCGCAGGCAAATGTGACCCTGATACTTTTTGTCTATCGAGCAAACCATTAGTAAGATGGCAAAACAGAGGAAACCGCTGCAGTCCTAAACTGATAACTTGGGATCAAAACGAGGAGGGACAATAAAAGCCCCTGAACGGAATCGAAGTGTGGTTATGGCCCAAGAATAAAGGAAAGCATGTCCACGCACTGAAAAGCAAGCGAATCTGGCAGCAGGAGACACTATGGAAATTAGTCAGCCAACTAGCGTGTACTGCTGCATCAAGAACGCGTGGCGCTTTTGCTCATGCGTGCGGCGGTTTCAATGATCTGTCGTTCATTCGATGCTTTTACGCAAAAGGATTCTCGCGCTAACAACTGTCATTCTACGACCGACACGCCATACACCGGAATGCTCCAGAACTCTCAGGACACCGACGAATAAAGCGTCCTCTGACGAGTGGAAAACCGCGTGCTCACTAGCTGGGGCGATAAACTGGTTATCCCGGAACATGCTTTTCAATAATAGTCGCAAAGATCATCGATGTTACAGCAGACGCCCCCAACTATGGAATTGGCGCTGTAGTTTTATACGTCTTCATCGATTTGTCAAGGTCACCATTGTCTGTGGAAAGCAACAACGGACAGCTTGATAAGGAGGTCTTGGCTATTATCGTCGTCGTTAAAACGTTTCGCAAGGTGCTTTGTGACCGTCACTTCACCCTTATAGCTAAGGATAGCCTTTTGTTTCAATTGGCGAGTCGAATAAAGGGATTCATGTGTACACGACAAATCGACTTCGGCGCTGGGCGGCCAGTCGGCCTGGATACGAATTCCATATCCGATGTCAGTCGGATACGAACATAGGCCAGGCAAACGCACTCTCACAATTAATCACTTCACGGAATGAAGAACCGAAGTACTCTATCATCGAGTTTTTCTTCGTTGAGTCCCAGTTTGACCGATAGTTCATGTACTGAAGTCGTGCACGTCCTGTGAGTTTTGATGAGACCCGAAACAAAACACATGTGAGACAAGTTAGCAACTTCTACCGCACTCAGTGGCTTGTAAAACCACCTGGAGAACTTCATCAGTTACATCAATGTCAGTACCCTATGTCCACCGTAAACGACCGTGTCTTCTTTTAAGAACGTATCGCTGTCCCACAGAAATTGCAGGCGAAAGTCTTAAGGCAATCTGACTGAACATCCGAAACTCAAATACATGCAAGCCTCGTAAGCAGTTTTATGTAGCGACCTGACATAGGCCAGCAAATGGAACAGTTGGATTGCTCATACATCAAATGTGCCCTCGCATCAAAGGTCACAACGGAGACCGCACTAAAGGGAAGACCTCTCCTACAAGCCACGAAGCTCAGGGTCCACATGGATAATGCGAGATCAATTAATAGGCAAAACCTCCTTACTGTCGTTGACACACAGAGCAAATGGCCGGAATTATTTCTCATACGATATGCAACATCCGGAACAACAGTCACCACGATTCAGTGACATTTCGGCAAACTTTTTATCGCGAAACTTTAATAAGCCTAGACGGAGGACAGTCCAGACAAGTCGCTTTTGCTCGACTCTCTAAGCAACCAAATACTGATAACTTGTTTTCGCCACCACAGCATCCGCAGCCCAAAGAAAAAACAGAGCGATTTGTTGGTACGTTCAAGCAGGACCTCAATGAGTAAGATGAGGTGGGAACTACAAGAGGAGTTCTCGAAATATTTTACTTGAACCATCAGATACCGCAAACCCGAATTCTCCAAGCTACGGTTCTCCCGTAGGGTGTTTGGTGCAAAAGTAACTTCGCATACCATTCGGTGTACCTTTTCTGTGAGTTAACAGCGGGATTTTGGTCGCGAAACATTCCATCTGACACCGATGGAGAGGCGATTCAACAGATTCAGCAGAGCAAACCAACGGTCGTGCCATTCAGGTGAGAAAGTACTGGCAAGGGACTATAGGGCGGTTAGAAAGAGTGGAAAATTGGACGCGTTGTCTGAAAGTTTGGTGATTTCGTCTATTAGGTTCTCGGTAGATTGAAAACTTAGATGAGTCCTGCCGATCAGCTGAGACACACATAAGGCACTGGTTTGCTTAATCCAGGCTTAACTGATCATCGAAAATACTACTGGAAAAATTCTGTCTACCAAAACCCTGGACAGAAACCACAGTTCTAGCATCAGAACGGTCTATTCAGCTGCTCCTACGATCGGACCAAACACGAAATCAAATGATACCATTGCGAGTAAATACGGGGCTCAAATCGTAGCACTGAATTCAAACGAAGGAAATGTTACGAAGCGCCGTCCTATCCGACTCGCTCAAATGCCACCCTAAAGATCCACCCACAGGTTTTGCGTGTGCTGGTATCGCGCTGCCTACCAACAGGGTTGGGGGGTTTACCGAAGCAGTCAAATGAGTCAGAAGTCCAACCAACTTGTTTCCCACTTAAGTACACATCCGCTTGGCCGAGTTTC